CCAATACACCCACCCACCCATCCACCACCCATCAGGCCGTGTGGCAGCTGGACCGCATGGAGACCTCGCTGCGCATGCACTTTAATCACCACCATTCCACCCCCCAATACACCCACCCACCCATCCACCACCCATCAGGCCGTGTGGCAGCTGGACCGCATGGAGACCTCGCTGCGCATGCACTTTAATCACCACCATTCCACCCCCCAATACACCCACCCACCCATCCACCACCCATCAGGCCGTGTGGCAGCTGGACCGCATGGAGACCTCGCTGCGCATGCACTTTAATCACCACCATTCCACCCCCCAATACACCCACCCACCCATCCACCACCCATCAGGCCGTGTGGCAGCTGGACCGCATGGAGACCTCGCTGCGCATGCACTTTAATCACCACCATTCCACCCCCCAATACACCCACCCACCCATCCACCACCCATCAGGCCGTGTGGCAGCTGGACCGCATGGAGACCTCGCTGCGCATGCACTTTAATCACCACCATTCCACCCCCCAATACACCCACCCACCCATCCACCACCCATCAGGCCGTGTGGCAGCTGGACCGCATGGAGACCTCGCTGCGCATGCACTTTAATCACCACCATTCCACCCCCCAATACACCCACCCACCCATCCACCACCCATCAGGCCGTGTGGCAGCTGGACCGCATGGAGACCTCTCTGCGCATGCACTTTAATCACCACCATTCCACCCCCCAATACACCCACCCACCCATCCACCACCCATCAGGCCGTGTGGCAGCTGGACCGCATGGAGACCTCGCTGCGCATGCACTTTAATCACCACCATTCCACCCCCCAATACACCCACCCACCCATCCACCACCCATCAGGCCGTGTGGCAGCTGGACCGCATGGAGACCTCTCTGCGCATGCACTTTAATCACCACCATTCCACCCCCCAATACACCCACCCACCCATCCACCACCCATCAGGCCGTGTGGCAGCTGGACCGCATGGAGACCTCGCTGCGCATGCACTTTAATCACCACCATTCCACCCCCCAATACACCCACCCACCCATCCACCACCCATCAGGCCGTGTGGCAGCTGGACCGCATGGAGACCTCGCTGCGCATGCACTTTAATCACCACCATTCCACCCCCCAATACACCCACCCACCCATCCACCACCCATCAGGCCGTGTGGCAGCTGGACCGCATGGAGACCTCGCTGCGCATGCACTTTAATCACCACCATTCCACCCCCCAATACACCCACCCACCCATCCACCACCCATCAGGCCGTGTGGCAGCTGGACCGCATGGAGACCTCTCTGCGCATGCACTTTAATCACCACCATTCCACCCCCCAATACACCCACCCACCCATCCACCACCCATCAGGCCGTGTGGCAGCTGGACCGCATGGAGACCTCGCTGCGCATGCACTTTAATCACCACCATTCCACCCCCCAATACACCCACCCACCCATCCACCACCCATCAGGCCGTGTGGCAGCTGGACCGCATGGAGACCTCTCTGCGCATGCACTTTAATCACCACCATTCCACCCCCCAATACACCCACCCACCCATCCACCACCCATCAGGCCGTGTGGCAGCTGGACCGCATGGAGACCTCGCTGCGCATGCACTTTAATCACCACCATTCCACCCCCCAATACACCCACCCACCCATCCACCACCCATCAGGCCGTGTGGCAGCTGGACCGCATGGAGACCTCTCTGCGCATGCACTTTAATCACCACCATTCCACCCCCCAATACACCCACCCACCCATCCACCACCCATCAGGCCGTGTGGCAGCTGGACCGCATGGAGACCTCGCTGCGCATGCACTTTAATCACCACCATTCCACCCCCCAATACACCCACCCACCCATCCACCACCCATCAGGCCGTGTGGCAGCTGGACCGCATGGAGACCTCGCTGCGCATGCACTTTAATCACCACCATTCCACCCCCCAATACACCCACCCACCCATCCACCACCCATCAGGCCGTGTGGCAGCTGGACCGCATGGAGACCTCTCTGCGCATGCACTTTAATCACCACCATTCCACCCCCCAATACACCCACCCACCCATCCACCACCCATCAGGCCGTGTGGCAGCTGGACCGCATGGAGACCTCGCTGCGCATGCACTTTAATCACCACCATTCCACCCCCCAATACACCCACCCACCCATCCACCACCCATCAGGCCGTGTGGCAGCTGGACCGCATGGAGACCTCTCTGCGCATGCACTTTAATCACCACCATTCCACCCCCCAATACACCCACCCACCCATCCACCACCCATCAGGCCGTGTGGCAGCTGGACCGCATGGAGACCTCGCTGCGCATGCACTTTAATCACCACCATTCCACCCCCCAATACACCCACCCACCCATCCACCACCCATCAGGCCGTGTGGCAGCTGGACCGCATGGAGACCTCGCTGCGCATGCACTTTAATCACCACCATTCCACCCCCCAATACACCCACCCACCCATCCACCACCCATCAGGCCGTGTGGCAGCTGGACCGCATGGAGACCTCGCTGCGCATGCACTTTAATCACCACCATTCCACCCCCCAATACACCCACCCACCCATCCACCACCCATCAGGCCGTGTGGCAGCTGGACCGCATGGAGACCTCGCTGCGCATGCACTTTAATCACCACCATTCCACCCCCCAATACACCCACCCACCCATCCACCACCCATCAGGCCGTGTGGCAGCTGGACCGCATGGAGACCTCTCTGCGCATGCACTTTAATCACCACCATTCCACCCCCCAATACACCCACCCACCCATCCACCACCCATCAGGCCGTGTGGCAGCTGGACCGCATGGAGACCTCGCTGCGCATGCACTTTAATCACCACCATTCCACCCCCCAATACACCCACCCACCCATCCACCACCCATCAGGCCGTGTGGCAGCTGGACCGCATGGAGACCTCGCTGCGCATGCACTTTAATCACCACCATTCCACCCCCCAATACACCCACCCACCCATCCACCACCCATCAGGCCGTGTGGCAGCTGGACCGCATGGAGACCTCTCTGCGCATGCACTTTAATCACCACCATTCCACCCCCCAATACACCCACCCACCCATCCACCACCCATCAGGCCGTGTGGCAGCTGGACCGCATGGAGACCTCGCTGCGCATGCACTTTAATCACCACCATTCCACCCCCCAATACACCCACCCACCCATCCACCACCCATCAGGCCGTGTGGCAGCTGGACCGCATGGAGACCTCGCTGCGCATGCACTTTAATCACCACCATTCCACCCCCCAATACACCCACCCACCCATCCACCACCCATCAGGCCGTGTGGCAGCTGGACCGCATGGAGACCTCTCTGCGCATGCACTTTAATCACCACCATTCCACCCCCCAATACACCCACCCACCCATCCACCACCCATCAGGCCGTGTGGCAGCTGGACCGCATGGAGACCTCGCTGCGCATGCACTTTAATCACCACCATTCCACCCCCCAATACACCCACCCACCCATCCACCACCCATCAGGCCGTGTGGCAGCTGGACCGCATGGAGACCTCTCTGCGCATGCACTTTAATCACCACCATTCCACCCCCCAATACACCCACCCACCCATCCACCACCCATCAGGCCGTGTGGCAGCTGGACCGCATGGAGACCTCGCTGCGCATGCACTTTAATCACCACCATTCCACCCCCCAATACACCCACCCACCCATCCACCACCCATCAGGCCGTGTGGCAGCTGGACCGCATGGAGACCTCTCTGCGCATGCACTTTAATCACCACCATTCCACCCCCCAATACACCCACCCACCCATCCACCACCCATCAGGCCGTGTGGCAGCTGGACCGCATGGAGACCTCGCTGCGCATGCACTTTAATCACCACCATTCCACCCCCCAATACACCCACCCACCCATCCACCACCCATCAGGCCGTGTGGCAGCTGGACCGCATGGAGACCTCGCTGCGCATGCACTTTAATCACCACCATTCCACCCCCCAATACACCCACCCACCCATCCACCACCCATCAGGCCGTGTGGCAGCTGGACCGCATGGAGACCTCGCTGCGCATGCACTTTAATCACCACCATTCCACCCCCCAATACACCCACCCACCCATCCACCACCCATCAGGCCGTGTGGCAGCTGGACCGCATGGAGACCTCGCTGCGCATGCACTTTAATCACCACCATTCCACCCCCCAATACACCCACCCACCCATCCACCACCCATCAGGCCGTGTGGCAGCTGGACCGCATGGAGACCTCTCTGCGCATGCACTTTAATCACCACCATTCCACCCCCCAATACACCCACCCACCCATCCACCACCCATCAGGCCGTGTGGCAGCTGGACCGCATGGAGACCTCTCTGCGCATGCACTTTAATCACCACCATTCCACCCCCCAATACACCCACCCACCCATCCACCACCCATCAGGCCGTGTGGCAGCTGGACCGCATGGAGACCTCGCTGCGCATGCACTTTAATCACCACCATTCCACCCCCCAATACACCCACCCACCCATCCACCACCCATCAGGCCGTGTGGCAGCTGGACCGCATGGAGACCTCGCTGCGCATGCACTTTAATCACCACCATTCCACCCCCCAATACACCCACCCACCCATCCACCACCCATCAGGCCGTGTGGCAGCTGGACCGCATGGAGACCTCTCTGCGCATGCACTTTAATCACCACCATTCCACCCCCCAATACACCCACCCACCCATCCACCACCCATCAGGCCGTGTGGCAGCTGGACCGCATGGAGACCTCGCTGCGCATGCACTTTAATCACCACCATTCCACCCCCCAATACACCCACCCACCCATCCACCACCCATCAGGCCGTGTGGCAGCTGGACCGCATGGAGACCTCTCTGCGCATGCACTTTAATCACCACCATTCCACCCCCCAATACACCCACCCACCCATCCACCACCCATCAGGCCGTGTGGCAGCTGGACCGCATGGAGACCTCGCTGCGCATGCGCCGGCGCGTGAAGCCATGCTTCTCCTCCACAACTGCTACTGCCAGGCTCCGTGCTTCCGGTCCCCACGGGGCCATAAGGGGTGCTGCTGTAGCTGCAGAAGATGCTGCTGCAGACGCCGGGTCCGATGCTGCTGCTGGAGCAGCAGCAGCCACAGCTGAAGCCACAGAAACGAGTGCTGCAGCAGTGGAGGAGGCAGTGCAGCGGCTTGGGGGAGCCCTGCCTGCGCCTCTTGGGGGCTTCATGAGGGGTGGTGGTGGGAAGGGGGAGAAGGAGGGGGTAGCGGAGGGGGAAGGGGAGAAAGAGCAGGTAAAGGGAGACGAGGAGGAAGGAGGGAAGGGAGGAGGGGAGGGAGGAGGAGAGGGAGGAGGAGAGGGAGCTGGGAAGGAGGAGGGAGGCGAGGAGGGAGGGGTAGGGAGAGGTGACGTGGGTGGGGGAGACGGAGCTACAGCAGGGGCTGTTGCTGAGGGTGGTGGTGTGGAAGGGGGTGCGAGTGGAGGGAAGAAGCATAAGCCAAGTGGATCGTCCAGTGGTGGGAAGAAGAGAGCGAAACCGGGCGGCGTGGAGTGGACGCTAGTGGCGGATGTGGACGGCGAAGAGGTGCTGGCTGACGTGGCAGCAATGATGGTACAGCCGCTGCGAACAGTGAAGGGGCGGCTGGTGGTTACCACCACTCGCCTCTGGTTCCACGTGGACCCCCCTGTGCCCTTCCGAGAGAGAGGGGGCGGAGGACAGGGAGAGAAGGGAGAGAAGAGTGAGAAGGGAGAGAAGAGTGAGGTGGGCGGAGGAAAGGAGGACGGTGGACAGGAGGATGAGGCGAAAAGCAATCAGGAGGCTTCGGTTTCGAGTAGCAGCGGCGGCAAAGAGGGGAAGGTGGGCAGCAGCGAAGGAGCGACAGGAGGAGATGGGACTGCGCGTGGGAGCATGGGCGATCGCGTGTGGCGGCTCTCATCTGTCCGCGAAGTGCTGACTCGACGGTGAGACAACTGGTCTGGGTGCCATAGGATAGACTTTGGTGGTGGGTAGGTGTGGGTGGTTGGGTGGGTGGGTGGTTGGTTGGGTGGGTGGTTGGGAGCATGGCCGATCGCGTGTGGCGGCTCTCATCTGTCCGCGAAGTGCTTACTCGACGGTGAGGGTCCTTAACTGGATGTCATGGTGGTGTGTGGATTTCATTTCACTATGTGTTTCACTTGGTTTGGCACGCAACTTCTGATGTGCCTCAAACGTCCGTTGCTGACTGAACCTTTGCCTTAGACGTTTGCTACTAACACGACTCTCTCCCTCCATCATGTGCTCCCTCCCGCCAGCTACCTCTTGCGCTGCTCTGCTCTAGAAATACTCATGGTCGACCGGTCCAACTTCTTCTTTGCCTTTGAGGGACCACTCACTCACTCACTCACATGCAAAGCAAACCCCCCCTTTACTCCCCTCCATCCCTGCTCCAGCTACCTGCTGTGTCGCCCTGCTCTGGAAATACTCATGGTCGACCGGTCCAACTTCTTCTTTGCCTTGACTGTTGGCTAACACGACTGCCTCTATCCACCATATCCTCCCTTCCTCCCCTCTCCCCTTCTCCCTCTACATCAAGCTACCTGCTGCGCCGCTCTGCTCTAGAGATATTCATGATCGACCGATCCAACTTCTTCTTTGCCTTTGATATTTACCGACACGATTCCCTCTACGTTCTCCCTCCCACCAGCTACCTTCTGCGTTGCTCTGCCCTGGAGATATTCATGATCGACCGCGCCAACTTCTTCTTTGCGTTTGAGGGGGCCGAGGAGCGCAAGCGAGTGCACCGCGCCATTGAGAGGGCCCACCCCCCCCACTTCCAGCACCTCTTCTCCGCATCTCAGGTGAGTAAAGTGCATGCAGTCATCCAAACCAGTGCTCTGGAGGTGCTCATGATAGATCGACCGCGCCAACTTCTTCTTTGCCTTTGAGGGGGCTGAGGAGCGCAAGCGAGTGCACCGCGCCATCGAGAGGGAGCACCCGCCGCACTTCCAGCACCTCTTCTCTGCATCTCAGGTGAGTATAGTGCATTCATGGTAGGCCGTTTCAACTTTCTTTGCCTTTGAGGGGGCCGAGGAGCGCAAGCGAGTGCACCGCGCCATTGAGAGGGCCCACCCGCCGCACTTCCAGCACCTCTTTTCGGCATCGCAGGTGATTGCAACGGACTCTTCGCTCAGTGCATTCTCTTGTCGTTCTTTATTAGTTCCAGCACACTTCTTTCGGCCTGTCACGCTACGCTGCCTTGCTATATATTTTAAGGGTGGTGATCGCTATCGTGCCTGCCCTGCCAAGCGATCAGTATGTTTTTTTGGGCCCATCTCTGAATTCTTATCCCTGTAACAGTGGTGCTCATCTTTGAGTCCTTGTTCTCTGTGTGTGGCCCTTGGTTTCTATTGTAATGTTCATTCTCTTCTCTTCTTGTCTATGTTTTGTTTCTTGCTTTCTTATCTTGCCCACGTACGTGTGTGTGTGTGTGTGTGTCTGTGTGTCTGTGTGTGTGTGTCTGTGTGTCTGTGTTTCAGCGACCGGAGACCATTCTGGAGAAGCTTCAGCTCACCAAGAAATGGGTCAACAGAGAGGTAAGGGACAGACACTCTGTGGTGCGCATATATATTCCATATAAGGGACAGACACTCTGTGGTGCGCATATATATTCCATATAAGGGACAGACACTCTGTGGTGCGCATATATATTCCATATAAGGGACAGACACTCTGTGGTGCGCATATATATTCCATATAAGGGACAGACACTCTGTGGTGCGCATATATATTCCATATAAGGGACAGACACTCTGTGGTGCGCATATATATTCCATATAAGGGACAGACACTCTGTGGTGCGCATATATATTCCATATAAGGGACAGACACTCTGTGGTGCGCATATATATTCCATATAAGGGACAGACACTCTGTGGTGCGCATATATATTCCATATAAGGGACAGACACTCTGTGGTGCGCATATATATTCCATATAAGGGACAGACACTCTGTGGTGCGCATATATATTCCATATAAGGGACAGACACTCTGTGGTGCGCATATATATTCCATTTAAGGGACAGACACTCTGTGGTGCGCATATATATTCCATATAAGGGACAGACACTCTGTGGTGCGCATATATATTCCATATAAGGGACAGACACTCTGTGGTGCGCATATATATTCCATATAAGGGACAGACACTCTGTGATGCGCATATATATTCCATATAAGGGACAGACACTCTGTGGTGCGCATATATATTCCATATAAGGGACAGACACTCTGTGGTGCGCATATATATTCCACATAAGGGACAGACACTCTGTGGTGCGCATATATATTCCACATAAGGGACAGACACTCTGTGGTGCGCATATATGTGTGCACCGCATTTCCGCCCACCTCAAGCACTCTTGCTGGCCAATTTTCCATGATGCCCACTGCCCTTCTGTTCTCCTGTTGCAAAACACTCAACACTCCCCTGCACTCCTCTCCACTCCTCTCCACTCCCCGTCAGATCACCAACTTTGAGTACCTCATGCACCTCAACACTCTCGCCGGGCGATCCTTCAACGATGTCACTCAGGTGCGCGTTCTTTCTCAAAGGCACGCCAGGGATAGAACCTACAGTGAACGTTCATCTCTTGGAAGCAGGCACATTACTTACCTTGCCCCCATTCCCGTTGCCCCTGGTCTGTTTGCAGTACCCCGTCTTCCCGTGGGTAATTCAGGATTATACCTCCAAGGAGCTCGATCTCACCAAGACAGCCACATTCCGCGACCTCTCAAAGGTAACAACCCTGGGCTGCACTGCACTGCACTGCACTGCACTGCACTGCACTGCACCTGGGCTGAAATATACTCCAACTGCGCAGGCCAGCCCAGGCTGGAATCATTGGATGTGGCTCTGGGCTGGTTTGTCTCCCCCCGACTGACATATATTCTGGGCTGGAATAGTTTGGCCTGAGGTGACTTTTGAGTCGACTCAAAAGTCACCTCGTTATTCTGGGCTGGAATAGTTTGGCCTGAAATTGCCTCCCATCCTCATCTGTCCCCGATTTTCTGTTCCCTCCAATGTGAAAAAAGGAGTGTTTTGAGACGTCTCAAAACACTCTGGGCTGGAATAGTTTGGCCTGAAATTGCCTCCCATCCCTCATCTGTTCCCGATTTTCTGTTCCCTCCAATTCGCCGCCCTGATTTTTCGTGCCATGCTGCAGCCCCTTGCAACTCTCCCCCTCTCCTCATTTCCCTCCCTCCCTACTCCACCCTTGCCCTGCCGCCAGCCCATGGGAGCGTTGACTCAGCCTCGCCTGGCAAAGATAATCAAGCGTTACGAGTAGGGATGAGCAAGTGGCGAACACGAACGCGTTCGTGTTCGCCCCTACACGAACACCTTCGTTTGCCGAACCGAACACTGTTCGGTTCGGCGAACACTTTGAGCAAAAAATGGTGTTCGCCGTTCGCCTGTGAAGGCGTGTTCGGGCGAACCTCGAACACTGTTCGTGTTCGTCGCGGGCAAATTGCAGCAGCGGCCCGAACACGAACGTGTTCGGGCGAACATCGAACACTGTTCGGCGAACATTTTAAGCCAAAAAAAAATACCTGTTCGGTTCGCCTCGAACACGTTCGAGGCGAACCGAACAGGTGTTCGTTTTTTTGCTCAACCCTAGTTACGAGTCATTTGACGGTCCCGTGATCCTCTTTCCCCTATATCCTTTCCCTCATTTCCCTCAATACTCCTCACTCCCCCCTGCCTCCAGCCCATGGGAGCGTTGACTCAGCCTCGCCTGGCAAAGATAACCGAGCGCTACGAGTCATTTGACGACCCGGTCATTCCCAAGTTCCACCACGGCACGCACTACTCCAGCGCTGCAATAGTGAGTGCCCCTTTTCACATGTCGATCTCTTAGCACTCGCCCCCACGGTAACACTGTGCCCCTTGCTCCTCTCACGATCCGGTCATTCCCAAGTTCCACCACGGCACGCACTACTCCAGCGCTGCAATAGTGAGTGATTATTGTAGTACTGTTCCCTCTCTTAGCAGTACTGTGACTCGGTTTCTTAGCACTCTGTCCCTTGCTCCTCTGGGGATCCGGTCATTCCCAAGTTCCACCCACCGCGGCACGCACTACTCCAGTGCTGCCATTGTGAGTTTCTCCCCTAGCACTGTGACACCTCTAGCATTATAAGTAACTCTCTAAGCACGCGACTCTTGAAAAGCGCCGGCTCGTTCAAAGGACCAAACACAACCTTTTTTTCTCTAACTCCACACCATAATCCCCTCCCTTCGCTCCCCCCCCACCCACCACCACACCAGGCCTCCCACCATCTCTTGCGCCTAGAGCCCTTCGCATCCCTCGCTGTCGCCATGCAAGGCAAAAAGCTGGACTATCCCGGCCGGCTCCTTTCGAGGCGGCTGGAGGGGAGCGTCACCTTTGCCTGCATGTGCTCCCCTCCCTCCCCACAGGCCTCCGACTATCTCGTTCGTTTAGAGCCCTTCACCTCCCTCGCTGTCTCCCTGCAAGGCGGCAAACTAGACCATCCTGACCGGCTCTTTCGGGACTCCTACCTACTACATGCCACATGCTTTCACCTCCCCTTGCCACCTCCCCACCACTCCAATCCCCCCTCCCCCCTTCCGCCCCCACCACCCCAGGCCTCCCACTATCTCGTGCGTCTGGAGCCCTTCACCTCTCTCGCTGTATCTCTCCAGGGCGGCAAACTGGACCACCCCGACCGGCTCTTCAGGGATGTGGCGAGCACATGGAGGGGGGTTACGACCGACATGGCCGATGTGAAGGAGCTGGTGAGAGAAAAGAGTGGGGGGGAAGGGATGACAGAGGAGCGGTGACTGAGAGCTGTGTGGGCAGTGGGCAGTGAGGGAGAGCAGTGAGGGAGGCTGGACCATCCCGACCGGCTCTTTCGAGACGTGGCGAGCACGTGGGAGGGGGTGACCACCGACATGGCTGATATGAAGGAGCTGGTGAGAGGGGGGTCCAGGGGTGTGGTAGTTGGTTATATTGAAATCACTTATATGAAGAATTCTCAAAAGGAGCTGGTGAGATGAGAGGGGGGTCCAGGGGTGTGGTAGTTGGTTATATTGAAATCACTTATATGAAGAATTCTCAAAAGGAGCTGGTGAGATGAGAGGGGGGTCCAGGGGTGTGGTAGTTGGTTTTTGAGTCGACTCTGTTTTTTGGTCGACTCAAAAACAAGGGGAAGGGGGAGGGGGGGCAGGGCAGGGGTGTGAGGTAGGTGTCATGTGTGATTGTGCAGTGGGTCGAGTGCGTGAAGGAGGGTGACGACCGACATGGCTGACGTGGAGGTGGTGAGAGAAAGGGGGAGGTAACTGGTGAGTGAGGTGTGTGGGCAGCTGGCGGCTGCGCAGCGCCCGGCTGGTGTATGGGCAGCTGGCGGCTGCGCAGCGCCCAGCTGGTGTGTGGGCAGCTGGCGGCTGCGCAGCGCCCGGCTGGTGTGTGGGCAGCCGGCGGCTGCGCAGCGCCCGGCTGGTGTGTGGGCAGCCGGCTCTTTCGAGACGTGGCGAGTGCGTGGAGGAGGGTGACCACCGACATGGCTGATGTGAAGGAGCTGGTGAGAGGGGGGGAGAGGGGGCAGGGGAGGTAACTGAGAAGTGCCAAGTTTATGCTTCTATTGAGAAGCAACTGGTAGGTGGTGAGTGGTATAGAGTGCGTGGAGGAGGGTGACCACCGACATGGCTGATGTGAAGGAGCTGGTGAGAGGGGGGGAGAGGGGGCAGGGGAGGTAACTGAGAAGTGCCAAGTTTATGCTTCTATTGAGAAGCAACTGGTAGCTGGTGAGTGGTATAGAGCGCGTGGAGGAGGGTGACCACCGACATGGCTGATGTGAAGGAGCTGGTGAGAGGGGGGGCAGGGGCGTGACTGGTGAGTGAGGCGGTTGAGATGAGAGATGTGTGGGCCGTGGGCAGTGGGCAGTGGGCAGGGATGCGTTGACTTTGCCCCCTCCCTCTTCACCCATTCCCACCCCCTCCTGCGCTGTTGCCCTGCCCCGCACTGTCGTGGTGCTGCCCCCCTGGGCTGGCAGTGAGTTGATTTTTGAGGAGCCTCAAAAATCACCTTAATTTTTTTTAGACGCCTCAAAAATCCTCTCCACCCATTCCCACCCCCTCCTGCGCTGTTCCCCTGCCCTGCACTGTCGTGGTGCTGCCCCCCTGGGCTGGCAGTGCGGTTGAGTTTGCCACATCCCTTCCACCCTCTCCTCTCCCCTCTTTGCTTTCTCTCTCAGATCCCCGACTGTTTCTGTTCTGCCTACCTGAGATGTTTCAGAACGTCAACAGGGTTGCTCTGGGAACCACACACACATCAGGGGGAGGAGATCGCAGACGTGGTGCTGCCCCCCTTGGCTGACGCCGCTGTTGACTTTGTGCACCCCCGGCCCCCTCCCTCTCCCCCTTTTGCTGTGGGCAGATCCCCGAGTGGTTCTGCCTCCCAGATCCCCGAGTGGTTCTGCCTCCCAGATCCCCGAGTGGTTCTGCCTCCCAGATCCCCGAGTGGTTCTGCCTCCCAGATCCCCGAGTGGTTCTGCCTCCCAGATCCCCGAGTGGTTCTGCCTCCCAGAGATGTTTCAGAACGTCAACAGCCTTGCTCCCTTGTGGCTCCCTTGGAGCCACACAGCAGGAGGGGGAGGGGGTCGGGGATGTGGTGCTGCCCCCTTGGGCTGACAGCGCTGTTGCCTTGCCTCTCCCTCCCTCTCCACCCATCCCAACCCTCTCCTCCTTTTTTCTTCCGTTCGCAGATCCCCGAGTGGTTCTGCCTGCCAGAGATGTTTCAGAACGTCAACGGGATCCCTTTAGGCGCAACACAGCAAGGGGAGGAGATCGGGGATGTGGTGCTGCCGCCCTGGGCTGACAGCGCGGTTGACTTTGTGCACAAGCAGCGGGCGGCACTGGAGAGCGAATACGTCAGCAGCAACCTGCACCATTGGATCGACCTCATCTTCGGGTACGTGCAACTTGCACCGTTGGATCGGCTTGCAGTCTGCATCTGAACTCCTGGACCACGTAGTTTAAACACCTTGAGATAGATCTTATATGGTGACCTTCTCACCACTGTGCACGTCATGCAGACATGGCCAGAGAAAGAAATTGAAAACTCACCACTACCCATTCTACCTCACCCCAGCTCCATCTCTGTCTCACTACCTTAAAGCTCAAGGCCCAAATTGCGGGCCGCGCGGAGCAGGATTACTAATCTTGCAGACTTAGCGTTTTTTGTTCTGTCATTTGACGAAAAGTCGGTTACTGTAGGTGCGAAACATTCTCGGTTACTGTAGGTGCGAAACATTCTGATTGGTCGAAGCAACACTCCCCGCCGAAACTCCAACTTTCCGAAGTCTGCAATTTGGGACTCGAGGTCCCTAACTGGGCACAGCCCCCAGAAGTTCGCTGACTCAGCGAAACAAACACAGCCTCAGCGAAATCATACGAGCCATTGACCTCACTTCGTGCTCACCATCCCCACCCTACAGGACTCCACCTTGCGCAAGATTAGTAATCTTGCGCAATTTGGGCCTTGAGCTTTAATTCCTCCTCCTCCCTCCCCTTCGTTCCCACCATGCAGGTACAAGCAGACGGGGCAAGAGGCAGTGAAGGCACACAACGTGTTCTTCTATGTGACCTACGAGGGCGCTGTTGATATTGACTCGGTTCACGACCCTGTGAGTAAAAGGTCACATCGTGCTCTTGTATGTGGAGGCTGTGTTTGTGCGTGCTCTTCGTTAAGTTTTTTTTTTTTTTTTTTTTTTTTTTGAACGAAATCCTGTCATCCTCACTGCTTGTCCCTGTCGTTCCACAATGCCCCAGGTCACTCGGCAGGGCCTGCAGGATCAGATCAAGTACTTCGGCCAGACGCCCTCACACCTCTTCACCGCTCCTCACCCCAAGCGCATCCCTCTCGACCGAGCCCTTCACCTGCATGTACGGTGCTTAGAATCTAATCCCATCCACTATTGGCTCATACATGTAACAGTATGATTGGCTGTCGTCACCTAATTTGTACAGCTATCCATCTCGACCGAGCTCTTTACCTGCATGCATGTATGTGGCTCAGTGGTATGGACCTGCTCAAGCTGTCGTCATTACATACAGGTTTCCCTTTTTTTGTTGCTCCCTCACGCTCTCACACCCTCCTCCCCCCCCTCCTTTTCTCCCCTTCTACTCCCTTACCCCCCCCTCCTCCTCCTTTGCTCCCCCAGACCATATTCCGCAAGCCCAACGAGATTCTCCCCTACGTGCTCCCCCACCCTGAGACCCTCAACGTGCCCTTGCTCCCTCCCATCCCCACTTCCAACTGCCCCTCCTTCCCCCTCTTCTCTCCCCCCATCCCCCCGCGGCCCCGCCCCTCCCCCCAGACCATATTCCGCAAGCCCAACGAGATTCTCCCCTACGTGCTCCCCCGCCCCGAGACCCTCAACGTGCCGGCCGCCCGGCTGCACGCCACGTCAGACGCAATCATCACCGTCGATCACAACGTGCCAGCCTGTCACATCGCCGTCCACCAATGGCAGCCCAACACGCCGGACGGCCACGGTTGGCCTTTTCTGTTCCAGCCCGGGCGGGCGTCGCTTTCGGGCGGCGCACTCCTCCGCATGCTGAAAAGCTCTGCCCCGGGGTTTGGCGCGGGCGGCATAGTGGCCGGACTAGGTATGGGAATAGGGGGAAGCGGCTTCGGAGGTTCGGTTGGGACAGGCGGAGGGTTGGGGGGAGCTGGTTCGGGAGGAGGGGGAGTAGGAGGAGGAGGAGCAGGGGGAGCAGGAGGAGGAGGGGGAGGAGGAGGAGGAGGGATGGTCTCGGAGACGTCGATTTACCCGCGGCTGCTGGCTCTCCCTGCGAGGGGCATCCGCCGCCCGAAAGAGCTCATGGCAATCACGCCGGATGGCAAGAATCTGATCACGGGAGGCCATGCGGACTGTTCTGTGAAGCTAATCTCAGTGGATACCACCCGCGTGGTTGAATCAGCACTGGTGCATACCGCTCCTGTGACCTCCCTGAGCCTATCCCCCGAAGGGGCGACGCTGGTTACAGGAGCAGCGGACGGGACGGTGATGCTGTGGCATGTGAACAGCTCGGCTTCGCTTGCTGCTGCTGCTTCGAGCCTCGCTGCCAGCATGCTGGGGACGCCAGACAGCGGTTCTTCTCATTCTCAGGGGTTCTCTGGAGGGCCGCATGATCCCGGCCTCGTGTCGTCTCCTGAAGCAGCGAGTAGGAGGGAGGAGGACGAGGAGGAGGAGGAAGAGGAGAGGGAGAAGGAGGCGCGGAGGAGGCGAGGTAGCGGCAGCGATTCTCCTGCTGCATCTAGTCTTGCTGGTAGGATGCTTTCTGGGCTCGCTGCTTCTAGTCTCGCTGCTGGCCGGGCATCCATAGAGCAAGTCAAGAAAAAGCTGAGGCGACTAGAGGGTCCCGTGCATGTGCTGAGAGGGCATACAGATGAGGTGGTGTGCTGTGCCGTTTCCTCAGACCTAGATATTGCCGCCTCGTCTTCCCTCTCCTCGGGCGTTCTTCTGCACTCGATTATGCGCGGAAAGTTTCTCCGCGCCCTGCCCGGGGTCGCCCGGGCAGACGTGCTCGCGATTTCCCCCGAGGGGCTGGTGGTGGTGTGGGAATTAGCTAAGCGCGCGCTAAGAGTTTTTACGATTAATGCTGAGCCGGTGGCGGCTGTGGGGGTTCCGGAGGAGGATGGGGATGTGAGTGTGGTGCAGATCTCTGCAGATGGGTTGTATGTGGTGGTGGGGACGGATTGCACTAGGTGGAGATACACAAGGGAGAAGGAGAGAGAGAGGGAGAGGCAGAGGGCTGCAGTGGTTGTGGGTAAGAGCGTGGGAGTGAGGAAGGTCGGTGGGGAGGAGAAGAGCGGGAAGAGCGGAGCAGGCGGGGAGAAAGAGGAGGGAGAGGGGGTGGGGAGAGGGGGGGATGGGAGGGAGGCATTTGAGGAGGAGGGGTTGCCGAACTGGAGGGATTCAGATGAAGGAGGGTCCAAGAGGGAGAGAGGGTCGGCCATTTCGCTGCTCGAGATCTTCACCCTCAAGGTACACGTCTCGATTACTTTCTTCTCCATTCATTTCGGCAGCTGTCGGGTGATATGCAAGCTTTGGACGAATGCTTAAGCTGTGTTGCCGCTGATATGTCGACACTTCTGCATTTTCTTCGAGACGTTAGAAGTTGTACCTGGTCATTCCATCCCGTCCCCCTTACAAGCAGGCTCTGTATCGCTTCAAGCTTCCCGAGAGCAGCGATGTGACATCATTGGCCCTGTCAGCAGACAACACCAACCTCATCTGCTCTGCTTCTGTCGTGCTCTCCCCTGGGCACCTCATTCTCTACAGTAACCCAATTGTAAGCAATTATAACTGTTTTTCTTCTGACAATTTCACTGTATGTTGTATCACTACCTTCTCCTGGTACGGTAAGTACCCTCCATGTATCTTTCCGATCCCCCCTTTTCCTCAGAAGCTCCACCCTTTTGTTTCAAAATGCATAGCCCATGAACTGTGCTGCTGTGCACCTAATTATTTCCCTTTTTCCATCCTTGAACTTGCACATCTTTCAGCTAAGTGTGAAGATGGTGGATCAGATGCTTAGGCTGGGATGGGAGGGAGGGGGGTTGCAATCAGTGATGCAGCAGCCAGAACGAGCGTCTGCTTCCCCTCCACCTCCCACCAAAACCTCCTCCCCGGCTCAAAGTGCCTCCACCTCGTCATCGACACGAGTGTCTGGTCTATATTTGTGACCCTGGCCAAAACGACCTTCTATAATGGCACTGTAGACTGTGATGGCAAAACGATTCATGATTGTAGGCGCACAAGCAATTTGTACCTAGTTGTTTTAGTAGCTGGGAGGTCCACTTCTAGCAATATGAACTGAACGCTGTTGCAGGTAAGTGTAGGCATTTGGATGTCGTAGTAATAGAGCAAATCCAAGTCATTGACAGCACACTGCGCTCTTATCGTGTAGCGAGTCGGTCAAAGTAGAGGAATTTCAGGCTGGTTTGCCTGTTGCTGTTGCGAGAGGTTGGGTTCGACTCCTCAAGGTGCAGCAAGATTGCGCGTGGGTGCAATACGGTAGCGTGTCAAGATGTATTTCGGCCTGCGGCCTCGAGATTGCCATTTCTTCCTGCTTCTTCGTGCTGAGCATAACTGGCTGTGTTGACGAGTTCATTTAGTATGGTCCAGAGTAAACCTTCAAAAGAAGGTTGCTAAGCTGTAGTTTCTCAGCTGCTTTCCGGCTTTCAATACTGTTTTTTGGTCGCAAAATCTGAGCAAATTTACGCGCAGCGTGCGTTGTCAAGCAGCTTCAGCCTTCAGCTGCACTGCTCCCCTTTCCTGCCTCGGCATTCTCTAGGTGCCTCGACAATCGTTTCCCCGCGGCGCTACACCTCTCCGTATCGTCAGACAGCAGACTGGCATGAGCAGCAGCGCTAGAATTCGCCGGAAGCTGATTGAGTACTCCGCGCAGGGGTCTTTAAAGAAGATTAAAGCCCTCTTGAAAGGCGCAGCGGGGCGATCATCGGCGTCGGACGCATCTGAACCGTCGGATTCAGACTCGTCTGGACGGTCGGATTCGTCCAGCTCAGACGCTGCTTCATCCGAGTCAGACGAACGGAAACGTAAGGACCATAGGGATCGCAAGAGACGTAAGGAAGAGGGGTCGCTGAATCGAGGGAGATCGAGGAGGCGAAGTCATAGTGACGATTGTGATTCTATCGAAAGGGATAGTAGCACTTCCGGGAGTAGGAGCAGCAGCTTCAGCAGAAGGAAGAGAAGACGGAAAGGTGACGGGAAGACGAGAGGCGAGACGAGGTCAAAGAGGAGGAAACGCCGGGATAGGTCATCAGATTCTGATTCGGATTCGGATTCCGATTCGGAATCAAGTTCAGATTCGAGTGTACATCCAGAGTCGGAATTGAGTTCAGATTCAGACTCGAGTGAGTCTGAGCGCAGAGCAGCAGCGAGGAGGACGAGGCGAAGGAAGGAGAAGGAGGAGGGGGGTGAGGAGGATGAAGAGCAGGGGAAGAAGAGTCACAATAAAAAAGGTCGTTCCTCCTCCCCTCGTTATGAGAACAATGGAAAGCGGCGAGATAAGAGGGAGGGAAGGGGGAACGAGAAACGGGAGAAACGGGATAAACACGAGGAACGGGAGGACAAGCGCAGCAGGCGCAAGGACAAGCACAGGAAGAGTAAAACCTCACATAGCAGTCATAGGAAACAGAGGGAGAAACGGTCATCTTCCAAAAAGCTTCGTGTTGATCTGAGTAGTACAGACGCCCAGGGATGGACCCCTCTCCACCACGCGGCCCACTCAGGCTCAGCTGATCTCGTCAAATACCTCCTTAAACTCGCCAAGAATAAGGAGGTATGTCATCCTGACAAGAAGTCTAGTAGACACTCAAAAAGGTCAAGCAAGGACCAAAAGGAAGGGTTCAATTTGGTATCAGTGCAGGATAACAGAGGGAATACGCCTGTCCACGTGGCAGCTAGGATGGGCCATGCCTCGGTTATCCAGCTGCTGAGAGAGGCCGGAGCTGACATGCAGGCTCGGAATTTGGCTGGGGAGACTCCCGAGGCTCTGGTACAGCGCAGGCTGATGGATTTGCGGCGCCGAACTGCGGAAGCAGCTTTGGAAAAAGCTGGGAGCCTGTGGGGTGAGGGGAGTGACAATGAAGGGTGCTTTGGTGGTGGTGGTGGTGGTTATGGTAATGGTTCAAACAATCCTGCATTGTGGGGAGATCCTGAGGAGAATGCAGAGGCAGCAGCTGCTGAGGCTCGGTATCACAGGTTCGGGTCCCAATCCGACAGGTTTGGTGCCGGGCCATGGGGAGCTGATGATGCTTGGAAGGATGACGTGGCAGCTCAGATGAAGAATAGGATGAGGAGGGACGAGGAGAGCCACCGGGCGGCAGTTTTTGGAGCGAAGCAGGAGGAGAAAGAGGACAAGAGAAGACGGTGGGAGGAGGAGAGGAAGGTACGGGAGGAAGAAGCAAGGAAGGTTCTGGAAGCAGAACAGGCCAAGGATAAGGCATGGAGAGCAGCGATCAAGGAGCAAGTACAGAAAAAGAAGGTGGTACAGAAGCAAGAGGATTATGACGAGAGATGGAAGAGATTTGCTAAGTCATGCGACATGGGTATTACCATGGCTGATGTGCCGTTCCCAGTGGTGGGTGGTGGGGAGGAGGAGCTGAAGCATGTGATTCTGCATGGCGTGCCAAAGGAGCAGCACCGGAAGAGGATGAGAGAGGAGGTGGTGCGATGGCACCCTGGTACGTGTCATGCTCTGATTGGTTCATGCATGTTAGTTTCGATGGCACCCTCGTACATGCCATTGGTTATGACACATACAGGAATACATTATTAAGTTTTTTTGTCCCCCTATCGCTTTGTTCCCTGGAATGCAGACAAGTTTATGCAGAAGTGGGGGTTACGGCTACACGACAAGCACCGGAGCAGCATTGAAAAGCGAGTGAAGGAGCTTTCACAAGCTGTCAACAACATTTACGCTTCGCTCAAGTGACTGGACTGGATGCGGGTTGGTTGCACAAGTAACAACGATTTAGTTATTCATCATTTTTTGTATGCTTCATGTGGAGAGCAAGTCAGGATACTTTACCCGAATACATTCACCTTCAAGATGTGATATGAAATGACGCTGTGAGTGTAAAATACTGAATCTACAGCTCCTTACCTTAGCGTGTAGAGAATATTTATTTTCTACAGTCTCTGACCTACACGTAGGACGCGTACCCTCTAGCGAGTTCGGTTTTGAAATTTTGATTTTGAGCTTTTGTGCTGCGAATTCTCAGTGCCCGCTTGCATAGCTCTTCCTTACAGTCTTCAGGAAATTTTGCTTCGGGAACTCCTGGGTTTCGTCGCCGTCCCGCGTCGCATCCCGTCGCCTAGTGTCGTATCGCGTCGCCATGCCATGGTGCAAAAAGTGGCGCGCAAGGAGCTCGCTTTACCACGCCCCGTCAGTCACCCGATGAGTCGAGCACCCTCTCACCTCCGTCAGGCTAAGGATTAGTATACGTTCTCGCATTGTACCACGTCCGTCGCATGACCGTGTCGCATTCGTCGCATCCCGTCGCATCTCGTCGCATTCCGTCGCAATGGTTCTCGAAGCTCGCCACCACGCTCTGGTGCAGTCGCTCATGAGTCGCGAGCCCGCCAAGGAGGCTCATGCGAAGAAGCTCCATCGCGACATCTGGGCCTCCGTCGCCGGCGACTCGCAGGCAGGTGATTTCTCGCGCAGGTCATTTTTGGGGGAATGAACGCCGCCTGTTCGCTGCTGCAGCTCCAACCCCCCTTTCCTGGATCCCATACCACCCCTCCTCCCCCCACCCTCCTCCCCCCCCCCCCCCCCCAACCCCACCCCCCTCCCTCCTCTTCCCCCCTCTCTGCAAACATCCCACACTCCAGGAGGTTTCTCTCACCTCCATTGCTCGCATCAGCGCCGCCCTCTCGCTGCTGCAGTCCTCGTACCCTGGTACCGGCTCCCACCATACCATACCGTACCGTTCTCCTCCCTTCTCCCCTTACCAGGAGGATTTTCTCACTTCCATAGGGCGCATCAACGCCGCCCTGTCGCTGCTGCAGCTGGAACTGCGGGCGGCAGCCGACCAGGCGGACGGCGGGCTTTGGTACGGAGTGGTGAACCGGGCGGCGGACAGCCAGGGCAAGCTGGGTACGACGTACAGCCACGAGGAGATCCAGTACTTTAAATGCCTGGTGGAGCACGTGGTAACCGCATCCAACGGCTCAGGATGCATCTCCAGCATTGCAGCGCTGCACCTCACCCCTGCTCCTAGCTCCACTCAGGTGCATGGTGCTAGGAGCCGCAACTCACCCCTGCATCATACACCTGCTCCTGCACGTGTTTCCGAGATCTACTCAACCATCCCCACTCCGTTTATCATCCCCCACTGTGCTTTTCACATGCACGACCAAAGCGGTCGTCATGTGTGACTCATCCCAGCATGTGGAAAGAGTACACGATGTTTGGTTGTGCTCTTAGAATCAACCCGAAACCCCATAAGTATCCCGCTATCTGCCTACCCTTTCTTTTCTTTCTACCTACACACGATGCTGCTAGGTTGCATTTGCGCATCCTCAATCCCTGTTTTCCTCTCCTCTGTCTCACTACCCCGTCCCTTCGATTCGCCCTTTCCCCCACCCCTCCCATACAGCCGAACCCAACGCAAGACCCCCTCTCCCCATCGTCCTCGCAACCTCCCCTCTCCCCTCCTGCCGCCCGCACACACACCCTCTCACTAACTGACAAAGAGCGCCTGATCGCTGACCTGGCGGACAACCATTGGCTCAGCATTTCGAGTGATTCAAGAGATGGCAGTAGTGGCGGCGGCAGCAGCAGCGGTGGCGGCGGTGGTGGTGGCAGTGGTGGTGGGAGGACGGGGGTGCAAGGGAGTGTGGGGTTGGGTGTGAGAACGTATCTGGAACTGCAGCAGTATTTGAAGAGCATTGAAGGGGGGGTTGTGTGCGACGTGTGCCATGATGCTGCTGTGAAGGTGAGTAATGCTGGAATGCTGAAGTGTTCCTGTGACTGTGTCTTGGATTGGGGTGCTCAGCTTGACTCCTTGAAAGAGCATTGAAGGGGCGGTGGTGTGTGACGTGTGTCATGATGCTGCTGTGAAAAAGAGTGACTTCTGAGAATTCAAGGTGACTCCATAATAACTGCAGCAGTATCTGAAGGGCATTGAAGGGGTGGCGGTGTGCGACGTGTGTCACGACGCTGGTGTGAAGGTGAGTGGTGTGGGATGGGAAGGCAATAGCAACTGTAGCAGGGGGCATGAAAGTGTGGGTCTGGGGGTGAGTGTGATCTACAGCAGTATCTGAAGAACATAGAAGGGGCGGCGGTGTGCGACGTGTGCCACGATGCTGCTGTGAAGGTGAGCGGTTTTTTTTTGTGTGGTTGAGACAGTGCCTCAAGTGCTGTCTGATTGTGGTGAGGTGATCAGCTTGGCTCCATTAAGAGCATTGAAGGGGTGGTGGTGCGCGATGTGTGCCACGATGCTGCTGTGAAGGTGAGTCCGAGTGTAAGTAGTGCTGCCATCTTTTCTGTGTGATTGAGGCGCCTAAAAATTATCTCTGAAGCACTGCTCTGCACCAGTGCTATCTGCACTGCTTTGAAGCACTACTCTGCACCAGTGCTATCTGCACTGCTTTGAAGCACTGCTCTGCACCAGTGCTATCTGCACTGCTTTGAAGCACTGCTCTGCACCAGTGCTATCTGCACTGCTTTGAAGCACTGCTCTGCACCAGTGCTATCTGCACTGCTTTGAAGCACTGCTCTGCACCAGTGCTATCTGCACTGCTTTGAAGCACTGCTCTGCACCAGTGCTATCTGCACTTCAATCCGTTTTGGTCTCTTTCATCTTACTTTCCCTCGCTGCAGGCTGTGTGCTGTGCGTCCCCGGGCTGTGAATACCGCCTGCACCAGTACTGCATGCCCGCCAAGTTCCATCGAGTCAAGGTGGGTCAACGCAAGTCAACGGGGTGTCATTGGATAGAATGAATTGATATTAGTGCCCCCAGTGCTGTTTGCTTTCAGTGAAGCCGAGTGGGTCGGTTATTTCTCAGAACCTGCCTCATCTTCTCCCCATTTGACTTTTGAGTCGACTCAAAAGTCAGCCGAGTGGGTCGGTTATTTCTCAGAACCCGCCTCTTTTTTCTCCCCATTCGCTTTTCCACTCCTCTGCCCATTGATCTTCTGTTCCTTCCCACTCCTCTTTCCACCAGAATCCCAAGTGCCCCCAGTGTGACTCGCCCTGGCCTTCCAGTGGGGACGAGCCTGCACCACCCAACCCAAGCAGCTGGCCGAGGAGGAACAGATAGGAGGATACACCCCAAAACTCCCCTATTTCTCCCCGCACCCATCTCTCTCTTTCTCTCTCTCCCCACGCCCCTCTTCCTTCCCTCTCTCCCCACCAGAATCCCAAGTGCCCCCAATGCGATGCGCCCTGGCCTTCCAGTGAGGACGAACCTGCACCACCCAGCCAATCCCAAGCGGCTGGTCGAGGGGGGGGCGCAGATAGGAGGAGGCGGGCAGGAAAGCGGATAGTGGGAGAGGAGGAGAGGGAAGAGGATAGGGAAGAGGAGGATAGGGGAGACGGAGAGAGAGGGGTAGAGGGGGGAGAAGGGGGTGGGGAGGAAGAGGAGGAGCGGAGGGGGAGGAGTAGGGGGAAACGGGGCTTGCAGAAGAGAGCAAGAGAGAAGAGGAAAGTGAGAGGACGAGTGATGGAAGAAGAGGAGGAAGAGGAGGGAGAGGAGGGAGAGGAGGAAGAGGGAGAAGAGGAGGGAGAGGAGAGAGAAGAGGGAGAGGAGGGAGAGGAGGAAGGGGGAGAAGAGGTAGAGGAGGTAGAGGAGGTAGAGGAGGAGGAAGAAAGGGATGTGAGGCCGGTCCGGGCAGGTCGAGTGAGAGAGGCAGAGCGTGTGAGCAGAAGGACGAGGAGAAGGTAGATAGCAGGCGGTAGGGGGCAGGAAGCTATGCAGACGACATGAGAGTGGTTCGGGCAGGTCGAGTGAGAGAGGTGGAGCGGGTGAGCAGAAGGACGAGGAGAAGGTAGATACGGCAGCAGGCATAGGAGCTGGGAGCTGAGGGAAGAGGAGAGAGGTGTGAGGAAGAAGACTTGGGTAGGGTGTTTTTGTCATCTCTATCTCCTTTTAACGAAACTTGTTTATTGTACATCAATTGAGCTACTGGTACTGTGGTTTGGCATTACTGTATAATTTACATGTGGGAGCATGAAGCAGCTATAAACTCTTGGAGTGCAGTGACAAACTCATAGTTGGGTGTAGTAAGGTACACTTGATTCATTCACTGTTTGTAGCAACTACAGTATTCTACAGGCAAGCTGGTCAGCACAGAAAAGTAAACAACACTTTGGCCACCGCACCACCACTGTGTTATAGTGAGTGCCAGACAAACTCCCCCTTCTCCACTGCAACCACCTGCCCTTTATCGTTCACCACCTCGCTTCCTCCCCCTCCATCTCCCCACTGAATCACCAGCTCACGTGTATCTGCAGCTGGTAAAGCCACCTTGAGAGTCTCCCAGGGGACTCTGTACCCGCCTCCTCTGCTGCTCTCCCCTCTGCTGCTCTCCCCTCTGCTGCTCTCCCCCCTGTTGCTCTCCCCACTGCTACCCACACCACTCTCTCCCCCAATCCCCCCCTGTACATGCACGATGGCTACAGTCACCACCACCTTCTGTGCATCCCACTGCATGCACACATGCACCTCGGCTCTGTCCCCTTTAAGAGTCTCCCCATCATCCTCGTACAAGACGCACCGGCTCTCCCCACCACCTTCCCCTGACGCTCCAGCTGTAGCAGTGCCAGCAGCGCGAGTGGCAGCAGAAGAGCCACCAGCAGCAACACTGGCACCACCAACACCAACGCCACTAGCAGCAGCACCAGCAGGAGCACTAGCAGCAGCACTAGCAGCAGCACTAGCAGCAGGGCCCACAGGGGGAGGGAACACTCTCAGAACCCTAGACTTCTCATCATGCAACCTACTGAAATCCACCGTACTTTCAGTCATCGCCACTATCCCACCTGCCCGAACAAACAACGGCACCCGGTCAAGCGGAGCCGCCACCGTCACGACCTGCCCGGGCAGAAAAAACTCCTCCGAATAAAAGTCAAACCAGCCCGAACACAGAGCTTTGGTTTCAGAGGAGTCAGCAGTTCTTTTCTTCCCAGACTGCCCGCCGGGCAGGTAAACTTTTCTCTGGCGTGCCCCGCGTTCGACCACTGGGGCAGCTAGCAGCATGGGTCCCACCATCAGCTCCTCCCCATCCCTCCAGCATCGGTCATCTTCCGGAAAATCATAAAAAGTCGGGCGGATCATCGGCTCGTGGAAAAAAGAAGCTCGGAAGGAGAGAGAGTAGAGGTACGGGATGAGGCGGTATCTGAGCCGCACGGACCAACGGACGGCTGGGATCGATTCGGGGTACATCCAAGGGCAGGTGATGGTTCCGTCAGGCTTCCAGCTGTTCATGAGGAATCGCGGGTGCAGCAGGCCGGCTTGGACCCACCGAACCAGGAGCTCAGGCTCGGGAGGAGGTCCGGAAAAGCCGCCGACGTCATGGCCGCAGTTGAAGAGACCGGAGAGGGAGAGGCAGAGGCCTAGGTGGAGGTTCCACCTGGATAACCCCATTGCAATAAAAAGGAATATGGAAAAAGAAAACAACGGACGGTAGTGATTACAAGAACAACACATGAAGGTTCATACTTATTGATACTTGAATGCCAAACTGCATCAGACTTAACGGAAATGTTAATGATCTCCGTACCTGAGTGATTTCCAGCTAGTGGAATTATCCCCAGACCAGGTCTGTGCGTATCTCTGAATGCCGAAGCCCCCAGCTCTGGTTACCGAGTAGGGTCGGCGGCCAGGCTCGGCCCGAACCTGCTGCTCGAACGAGGCGCGGGTCATCATCAGCGCGTGGATCGGCCGATGCTCGGGGCGCCCGAACATGTGACTGCAGGCATCCTCCTCCCAGATCTCATACTCGTTATTGTCATTCCACGCGGTCTCTATACCAACATCTAGCAGCGCTCGCTGCATGTTGGCCTGCCACCAGGCTATGGTGGCTGGGTTGGTGAAGTCTAGATGTGCTCCCAGCCCGTCCCAGAACTGGCTTATAGCCGGCGGTCTAGATTCAGCTGTTGCTGGCGGCTCTGCTGCACTCGGCTTTGGAAAAGACTCCGCTTCCTCCTCTGTCCCTGCTGCTCCTGCTCCCCCTCCCCCTCCCCCTACTCCTGCCCCTCCTCCAGCCCCTCCTCCTGCCACATTCACTCCTGTTCCTGCTCCTCCTGTCCCCTTTACCCCATCTGCATCTCCTGCCGCTGCATCCCCACTCAAGAAAACAAACCCATGTTTCCCACCCACCTCCGCATACCTCGGATGGTCCACCAGCATACAAGGCTTAACATTCGCCACCACCCGCATCCCAGCCGCCCTCATCTCCCCCACCAGCCCCTGCGGATCCGGGAACTTAGCTAAGTTCCAGTGGAAAACGTACCTCCGCTTGCCGATCGTGGTGTAGCCGGAACCAAAGTGAAACGCGCTGACGGGCATGTGGGTGGAACGGGCGGCTGAGATGAACCGGGAGATGCGGGCCTGCGCATCTGGAGCGTCGGCTAGCGGCATGGCGGTGAGATGGAGGCCCAGGGTCCACCGTGGTATCAGAGCGGGCCCTACGGCTTGTGGTTGTGATGCTGGTGGTGCTGATGTTGATAGCGGCAGTAGCGGCTGCTGCTTGCGTTCGTTGTTACCCCTCTCTTCCACCTTCCCTTCCCCAACCCCCTCCCCTCTTTCCCCACCCTTCTCTCTCATCCCCCCAGTCATTAGCCTAGAGAAGGTCCCTATCACCTCTTTCACCCCCAGTCCCACACCCATATACATATCCAAGTCCCCGTCCCTCCCCTTCCACACCCGGTACGGCCCGTAATAATTGCTGTTCTCACACCCCAAGTCCACGTCAGCACCATCTGCCAGGCTGTCGTACAGCTGGCCGTAGCACATGCGCGTGCGCCCGTCGCGCGTCAGCAGCAGCGGCCAGTGCTTATAAAGGGGATCGCCTTGTAACGGGTCGAAGCCGAGCGCGTCGCGCATGCCGATAGCGAGGCGGCGCGAGTGGAGATTGAGAGGGCCTGTCTTGTCGCCCAGACCGAAGTAAAAATCGCCTCCTTCTGCAACCCCCTCTCCTGCAGCTGCTGCTGTGGCAACACCGGAAACAGCATTACCAGAAACGGCACTACCAGCATCCGCCGCATCAGCTGCGTCAGCATCAGCATCAGCAGCGGAAGAGGAGAGCGGGCATCGTTTCATGGCGTGTTCAAACGCGAAGGAGCGGTCTGAGAAACGGTACGGGCAGCTTTCCCTGTCCTCTGCGAATACTACAGGGCGGCAATTTTCGTCCGATTTTGTCCCCGTTATAAGCGGGGTTGTGGAAGCAGGTGTGGTGCTGCTAGGAACGGCCCAAGAGAGATGAAACGGCTCCAAACGGACGGTCAGGATCAGCTGCGACGAGCGGATGGTCACGGCAGGAGCTTGGGGGGCAGCACTCTCCGTTATAGCGCTCCCCGATTGCGGGAGAGTGCTCTGTTCTGTCAGGGCCACCGTAGTTTGCTCTACGGAGTAATCTATGGGCGCGAAGGGGATGTTCAGGCGGTCGTAACCCTCCCATGGGGGATCGTGCGGTGACGGCAGCAGCGGGCTTTGCGGGAGATCGCCTGTGAACGGCACTTGAAACGCGCGTGGTGCGCCTGGCGCTGCTGCGCCTGCTGCCCCTGCACCAGCTGCTACTGCTGCGGAAGGAGATTCCGCTGCGGATTGCGCCGCTACAGATGCAGATGGCACCGATACAGATGCAGATGGCACCGATACAGATGCAGATGGCACCGATACAGATGCAGATGGCACCGATACAGATGCAGATGGCTCCGATACAGATGCAGATGGCACCGATACAGATGCAGATGGCACCGATACAGATGCGGATTCCGCATCCGCGGAGCCGCAGCAGACGGACCAGGTGCGCGGCTCGCGGAGGCCGCCGGGGCGGAGGAAGAGCACGCGGAAGAGGTTGCGCGCGACGGGGGTCACGCGGAGCGCGAAGCCGTCGTTGCAGTCGAACCACACGCCGGCCGCGTCCACGCGGTTTACCGACGCGCGAGTGATGGCCGACATGGTTGCCTGCTAGCCGTCTTTTGCCTACGGAAATGTCTAGGCCTGCAGCTGAATTCTCTGCATGTCAGTTTCAAATCGAAGACTAGTAAAGCCCGCGTCCCAAATTGCGGACCGCGAGGGTCAAGTTTTTAAAACTTGACGAAGTTGAGTGTCCAAGCTTTTGAAAGTCACGCACCTGCAATTTGGGACTTTCGAAGACAGATTCACTCACCAGGGGGAAAACCGAGGGTTGGCTGGGTCTCGCGAAAAAAAAAGAACTTAGACGAAATTGCGAACTCTCGCCAAAGCCTACACCAGGAAACTCCCTCTGGTCAACTTTTAAAGCAGCAGTATACATTTGAAAGCACTGTTTGTTTTGTGAACTGTGCCAAGGATTCGCATCAACGAAACTAAAAACAGACTGGCGAGAGTGTTGGCGAAAAACTGAGGCGGGACTGTTGTTAGGGAACAAGGGTTGGGTCAGTCACACACGAACTCACCTGCCTCGCTGGCACACTTAGGAGAAGAGGGTGGTAGCTATTAGAAGTGATAGAAGTACCAAACGAGTGGGCTAGTGGTTGCTAGACGTGGAGCGCGACCACACACATAGTCGCGGGTGAGTAATTAGCCATGTGCAGAGCAGGCGACGGCTAAAGCGACCAGCAAAAACGCCCGCCATCTCGTTCACGTGCACTAATATTCCGCCGCAATGCACTCGGACGATGGCACAGAGGCATTCGCCTCAATCCGCCGTATTGCATACTTAGCGCCCGTCGAAACCTATCTAATGCGCCACTACGATGGGCATTCGACGCGCTCCCCGCAATGGCTTCGTGCATTCAGAAAATACACATTTGACGAGGGGAGGTATTTGCACTCCTCCGCCAGCCAGCTGGCCCATCGCCCTTAGTCAGGATTAGCCTGTGCAGCAGCAGTTGCGCGCTCTCCTCGAGCCTCGAACGCGCGCCTGCATTCCGCGCGAGCCAGCGCAGCGCGCGCCAGCAAAACGCGCGCAGCAGAGCGGCGCGCGCCTGCATAGCGAGTGCAGATGACGCTCGCGCGTCAGCAAACAGCACGCGGTTGCAGGCACGCGCGCTCCAGCCCTATTTCCCCCCCTGCGCCCATATTTCCCCCTATGCCAGCCCCATTTTCCCCCCCTGCCAGCCCCATTTTTCCCCCCTGCCAGCCCCATTTTCCACCCTGCTAGCCCCATACTTCCCCCCATGCTAGCCCCATGTTTCTGCCCTCTTAGCCCCATGTCACCCCCCTACTGCTGGCCCTATATTTCCCCCATGCTAGCCCCATGTTTCCCCCCATGCTAGCCCCATTTTTCCCCTCCTTTCCCCCCTGCTTCCCCCCTTTCCCCCCACGGCTTCCCCTCCTTTCCCCCCTTGCTTCCTCTCCTTCCCCCCCCAGCTTCCCCCCTTTTCCCCCACGGCTTCCCCTCCTTCTCCCCCCTGCTTCCCCTCCTTTCCCCCCATGCTTCTCCTCCCTCCCCCCCCTGCATCCCCTTCTTTCCCCCCTTGCCCTCCTTTCCCCCCCTGCTTTACCTCCTTTCCCCCCCTGCTTCTCCTCCTTTCCTGCTTCCCCTCCTTTCCTCCCCCTGCTTCCCCTCCTTTCCACCCCTGCTTCCCCCCTATTCCCCCACGGCTTTCCCTCCTTCCCCCCCCTTCTTCCCCTCCTTTCCCCCCATGCTTCTCCTCCCTTTCCCCCCTGCATCCCCTCCTTTCCCCCCTTTGCTTGCCATCCTTTCCCCCCACTGCATCCCCTCCTCTCCCCCCCGGTTTCCCCTCCTTTCCCTCCCTGCATCCCCTCCTTTCACTCCTTGCATCCCCTCCTTCCTCTCCCTGTTTCCCCTCTTTCCCCTCCCTGTTTCCCCTCCTTTCCCTCCTGTTTCCCCTCCTTTCCCCCCCTGCATCGCCTCCTTCCTCTCCCTGTTTCCCCTCCTCTCCCCCCCTGCATCCCCTCCTTTCCCTCCCTGCATTCTCTGATTTCCCCCTCTGCTTCCCCTCCTTTAACTCCCTGCATTGTCTCCTTTCCATCCCTGCAACTCTCCTTCACCCCATCTCACCCAAGCAACTCCCTTTCTCCTCACTTGCCATTTCCTGCCGCTATATGCATTGGATGTGTCTGCCATGACTGTCCCCATTCACCCCACCCATCCTCCACGCTCCCCATCTCTCCCATCCCATTCCTCCCTCCCCCCATCTCTTCCTCACCCCATCTCTTCCTCGCCCCATGTCTTCTTCACCCCAACTCATCCTCACCCCATCTCTCCCTCACCCCGCCTCTCCCTCACCCCATCTCTCCCTCACCCCATCTCTCCCTCACCCCATCTATCCCGCCTTCTATCTATACCCCCCATGCCCCCCATTTCATCCTCTTCCCAGCAATTCCTCGGCCTCTAAGCGGTAAGCGTGTCCCGTGTGCCTGTTTTCGCCGGCTTCGTCCCCAGTCAGATTGGGCTCGTACGGTGCTGGTGCAGGCAGGGGTTGATCAACGATGGCACAGCAACAGCGCTGTCGCCTCCCTTCTCCCTTCCTAATATCCCCTCGTCACTCTCTCCCTCCTATTTCTTCCCTGTCGCGCCCTCTTTCTCTCCCTCCTATTTTCTCCCCCATATCATCTGTCCATGTGTCAGGTGGGCAAGGAGGCAGCCATCCGCACCAACACCAGCCTTTCTCCTGTTCACAGCGTGCAGCTCTATGCTCGATCCGCTCGTGCCTTCACCGTCTATTTGGGCACGCTCTGAATGCTTGTTCTGGGAACGGGTTTAGAGTCACTTGTTGCTTGTACTTACATGGACATTTCTTTGTAGACCCTCTGACCTCCTCCCCCCTTCCCGTGGTACCAGTACCAGATTATGGGATGGGAGATGCTGAGCATGTCATCACAGCCCCCACCCCACCCTCAAAGCAATAAATGCTTCGTTTTCACTGCTCATGGTTTGCACCATAGGTATCACAACATTATTGATTGCATCATACTAATAAAATCACATAACAACAATTGTCTCAAAGGATACAAATTCGAGTATGCGGCCTATTACATCGCCTCTCCTTATCCTCTTCTTCATCCTCCCCATCCTCAACACCAACCCTAAAACCTAGCGGCCCCTGTTGATGACGCGCACGACCCCGCAAGAACATCACTGGTGTCTGGAGGGAATCGCAGGAATGGAGGCGGGTACAGAGGAGACGAAATGAAAAGGTACTGGGAAAAGAAGGAGTGACAAAGGGGTGGGTGGGGGGCAGTACAGAAACTGTAATCAACACGGCATAGCACATTACCGCATTGGGTTGGGAAGTGTCGACAAGGGTTGGCAATAGGCAAGAAAAGGAACGTTAGCAGTGGAAAGGCAGAATGGTTGGGGAAGGAAGAGAGGGTAGAGGGAAGGGAGAGAGGTGCATTGAGGGGCAGGAAACTGCACAGCGGGCGAAGGACAAGGCAGGTGAGTTGCAAGTGGTGAGGGGTGGGGTGGAGAGTGAATGTTATGGGAAGATGGAAAAGAGGCTGTGGTGGTGGGAAGCTCCCGTGGGGATGCATGAAGGGGAGATGAGGAGGTGGGACAAAGAGATCGGGTGGCAAGACAGAGAGGTGCTGGTACCCTGGCACAGAGAGGTGCAGGCAAATTGGCACAGATAGGGCTTTTCTTAGACGCATAGAGGAAAGGGCAGGAAGACAGGCGCAGGGAGGGAGGGGCAGGAAGAGAGGCGCAGAGAGATGAGGGCAGGAATAGCGGCACAGAGAGTGGATGGCAGTGAGAGAGGCGCAGGGAGGGAGGGGCAGGAAGAGAAGCGCCGAGAGGGAGGGGCAGGAAGAGAGGCGCCGAGAGGGAGGGGCAGGAAGAGAAGCGCAGAGAGATAAGGGCATGGAAAGATTCGCAGGCTATGCTGGAGGGTAGGGTAGATGCAGATAGCAGACCGACTCACACTGCGGCGGGAAGCCTAACTATGCTAGATAGTTTAGGATAGTGCATGGGAAGGAAAGGGGCTAGCAGGTGGGAGTTGAGCTAGTTCGAGGGGGGTAGGCTAGCAGGACAAGAAGGTGTGGATGAGCATGAACGTGGAGAAGCAGAGGAGCAGCGGACGCAGCAGGGCCGAGTGTGAGAACTGCTTTCTTAGAACTCGTACCCTCCAATTAAGAATAAGTCTACTTACCAGGTGTGGCGGGAGGACGGCAGTAGTGTGAACATGAGAGCAGAAAAACAGAGCAGCAGCGACCCCAGCAGCGCAAGGTGGATCCCCCGCCACTCCACAGCGCCTCTGCTGCAGAACGCCACACGCGTGTTGAAATTGACGTGCTCCGCACTCGTGCGCACGAACTGACCCTCCTTCCCACAGACTCAGATCACTGCTGCCCCAGTCAGAGACCTGGCTGGTTAGAGAAAGTGGGCGGGACGGGGAAGGGTGAGGAAGAGCGAAAAGGGGAGGGGCGGAGGGAATGGAGGGGAGGGGAGGAGGGAATGGAGGGAAGGGAGGGAAGGGAGGAAATGGTGAGAAGGGAGGGAAGGGAGGGAAGTGAGGGAAGGGAGGGAAGTGAGGGTAGGGAGGAAAGGGAGGGAAGGGATAGAAGGGGGGGAATAGAGAGAAGAGAGAGGGAAGGGAGGGAAGAGAGGGAAGGGAGGGAAGAGAGAGAAGGGAGGGGAGGGAGAGACGGTAGGGAAGGGAGAGAAGGGTGGGAAGGGAGAGAAGGGAGGGGAGGGAGAGAAGGGAGAGAAGGGAGGGAAGGGAGGGTAGGGAGGGTAGGGAGGGAAGGGAGAGAAGGGGGGAGATGGAGAGAAGGGAGAGGGAAGGGAGAGAGAGAAGGGAGGGAGAAGTGAGGGCGTGCAAGGGGAAAAATGAGGGCGTGCAAGGGGGAAAGTGAGGGCGTGCAAGGGGGAAATGAGGGCAGGGCAGAGGGCGAAAATGAGGGCGTGCAAGGGGGAAAATGAGGGCGTGCAAGGGGGAAAGTGAGGGCGTGCAAGGGGGAAACGAGTATGGCATTGTTCCGTCGCAAGGCGAGACCGCGCGAAGAGGGAATTCGAGAACGAAACTCCGTCCGTTCGAGTGCGCGCGAAGTAGCCTTACGACTTGTCTATAACCAGGAAGAGCGCGCCTCTAAAATCGGGTACGTGACGAGGCGTGCTCACGATGTGAGTTGTCTTTCCTAGGCAGCTGTGAGGCAAAACCTCCTTCCCGTCAATCTGTCTCCTTTTGCAAATCCTTAGGATTTGAACATGGCGAGGAGCACTTGTGAGGGGGGTTGGGACGAGCTTGTGGGCTTGTTATTTGGTAACCATTTTCAAGTTCCTTAGGATTTTGAAAACCCAACTTTCAAAAGTATACTGTTGCTTTAAAAGCATGAACAATTTGGGCCGCCGGCTGTAAGAGGACCGGAATCTGAATTTGTCAGTGGTCACATTGTACGCGGTACAAGATCTAGCGAGGGTGAAGCTGAACTGGAGAAAGTATGCTCACATGTACTACATTTCCTGTGGAAGGCTCAAATTCAACTCCAAACGCATTGTGGCTTGATGATGGACATCTCACCAAGTGGGCATACGACCACTTCGCCCTCCTCATTTTCATTATTATTATTTCTAAATCTTACTTCTTCACTACAGCACTTAATTTCACTGTATGCTACACTATTTCTCATCTGCCTCCAACTCCTCCCCGAACTGCTCCAACCTCCTTGCCTCTTCCTCCTCGTCCCGCACAAGCCCCCAATTAACCAAACCCTTGTCTTCAACCGCTGATATTTGCCGGCCCCCAAACCTAGAAAGGGAAGGGAAGGCATGCACAGGGCTCACGAGATTTCTCATGCAGCACAATATGCAGAGAATGCAACAACCAAACAATGACTCACCAATGGCCATTCATGACTCATCATCGCCCATTCACGACTCACCATCACCCACTCACGACTTACCATCGCCCGTGCATCACTTCTATGCACTTGAAAGCAGCTGCCTTGTCCTTGAACCTCACTGTCACCACTCACCATCGCTCTTCACCACTCAACATTGCCATTCAGGACCCACTCACCATCGCCCATGCATGACTTCTATGCACTTGAACGCAGCTGCCTTGTCCTTGAACCTCACAGTCACTACACCGTCTGGATGATTGGGGTACACCTGATGACATGAGTAGGCAAGGACAATGATAAGGGAGGTTTATCAGGAGAAGAGGCGGGGAACAGGGGACGGTGTGGGCAAGGCAGAGTAGAAACGGGAGCCTTGTCCCGGCGGGCAGAGTAAAACGGGAACCTCCCTGTTTTGGTGATGGATGGAGGTTCCACCAACTTGGAGGTTCACAAGAGAAGGGAAACAGAAAACTTGGTACCTGGTAGTATCATTCTGCTCACCTTACCTCTCTCTGCGATACCCATCTGGGCACATCCCTCCCGCGCCCCCGCTGCAGGGTGTTTTTGAGAATTCTCCAAAACACCCTGCTACCGGCTCCACCGGCAGCAAAAGGCCGGACGGGGTGGGTGGGCTGTGACTGCTGCTGATATCTAAAGTGACTTCTGAGCTGGTTGAAAAACCCTAAACCCTGCTACCACCTCCACTTTAGATATCTAAAGTGACTTCTGAGCTGGTTAGAAAACCCTAAACCGCGCAACCAGAACCTTGCCTCACCTTCACTATCTCCACCACCCCCATCTTGGCTCACTCCTCCCGCACCTCTGCTTCCAGCTCGTGGGTGGGTGGGTGGGTGAGTGGGTTACTCCTGATACCTGACGTACCTACTAGTTGACTACAAACCCTGAACCCCAAACCACAAATCCTGAACCTTCTTCTCACCTTGACTCGCTCCACCACCCCCATCTTGCTGCATTCCTCCCGCACCTCTGCTTCCAGCTCCACCAGCAGTGAGGGGCCAGGTGGGTGGGTGGATGCGCTTTCTTACCAACAGCGAGGGATCAGGTGAGTGTGTGTGTGGCCCGTGGCACTGGACTTACCTTGACCCTCTCAACGATGCCCATCTTGGCACACTCCTCCCGCACCTCTGCCTCCAGCTCCACCGGCAGTGAGGGGCCAGGTGAGTGGGTTACTCCTGATACCTGACGTACCTACTAGTTGACTACAAACCCTGAACCCCAAACCACAAATCCTGAACCTTCTTCTCACCTTGACTCGCTCAACCACCCCCATCTTGGCGCATTCCTCCCGCACCTCTGCTTCCAGCTCCACGGGCAGCGAGGGATCATTGACCACCTCGTCGCGTGTGAGCATGTGGAAGAGAGCAACCGTCATGGGCAGGGTGTGCTTGGCGTTATCGGATCCACCTGAGAGGGTGGGAAAGGTTAGGGAGAAAGAGGGCCAGATGACAGAGATTCAGAGAGCAGTGAAGGGTCATTGACCACCTCGTCGCGAGTGAGCATGTGGAAGAGCGCGACGGTCATTGGGAGGGTGTGCTTGGCGTTGTCAGACCCGCCTGGGAGGGCAAGAGAAGCGACAAGAGAAAGGGGTGGTCAAGACACAAGGGACATAACCCATGGGGTCGCATGTGAACATGTGAGATCAATGATACTCGCAGGGGGTTTAGCCAAGGGGGTGGAGGGGATTGGACCGAGCAAGCGTGGTGCAATGGAGGGAATAAAGAGATAACTCACCCCATCCCAGCACCTTGGCCTCCAGCTTTTTTAGTTTCTTCTTCTTGTTCTTGTCACTCGCTTTCTTCACAAACACATTGCCTGGTGGGGCAGACCGAGGCCGGTGGAATGGCAAGGGAGATAGGGACGTGGGTGAGGTGGGAACACGGTTGGTGGGACGTGGGTGAGGTGGGAACACGGTTGGTGGGACGTGGGTGAGGTGGGAACACGGTTGGTGGGACGTGGGTGAGGTGGGAACACGGTTGGTGGGACGTGGAAAAGCAGGGAGGTTTTAGATAACGTGGGGTAGCAACAGAGTGGATGAACCTTGCAGCTCGCAACGGCCTTCACTACCCTACCATCACCACCACGCACCTTTCTGCTCGAACTTGGCCAGAGTCACAGACATAGGCTGCTTGTCTCCTAGTCTCAGTGGAGTGCCATCCAGAATCTTGAGAGCTAGGTCAACTGAAGGCGGCTGGAGTGGGAAAGAGGGAGAATGGGGGGGAGAGAGGGGAAAAGAGGGAAGTGGAAAGTCCAGGTTTAAATCCTGGACTCATGGCTTTCTGATGATGATTGAAATCAAACCACTTTGAGAAATCAAAAGGGACTCCAACATAAGTGGAGAGAAATGGAATGCAACCAGAATCATCTTGAGCAATGCAACCGGAACTCACCTTGAAGAGTATGAATTGACTGACCTTGAGGAAGGTGATGAGTCTTGATGGGTACATCCCCCTTCACCTCGTGACGATACATGCTTCAGCTCGTCTGTCGCCTTATCCCGATGAGTCTTGATGGATACAGCTTCACCCGCAGCCTCTGTGTGACGCTTTTTCAGGGTCCTCTAATCCAAGTCCTGGACTCGTGGCTTCACCTTGACCAATGCAACTGGCACTCACCTTGAGGAATGTGATGAGCCCATCCCCCTTGAGCTCGCCCGTTGCCTTGTCCCGATACAGCTTCACCCGCGCCTTGCCCGTGTCTAGGTCCTGAGAAGCCAAGACAAAAAGCAGGAAAAACCAGGATCAGAGAAAGGAGACGGACGCAATGGGCAGGAGGCAATCAGCCGGCCGGATCGTAACGTATACCCCCTTAGTGCTATCCGTACCTCTTGATTGGTCCGTGTCTGAAAAGGGCAAGCTTGATGCAATGGGTTCTTCTTACCTCTTTGATAAGCCCACACTTGGAAAACACCTCCCCCACCTGCCGTACAAGGAAACCAGAATTGGAGAAAAGAAGCAGAAGTTAAGGGCAAAAGCAGTGACGCCACTCTCAAGTGGCACGAAAGCGGCAAAACATACTGGTACACCCTGTACTCGCTATAGGCGCCCCACCTCGTCCTAGTTGCTATTTTGAGGCAGGCCGGTGACGTAAACACTTGTGTGTTAACCTTCATTCAATCAGCTCATTCAGACCACTTGGCCACTCATTCGGCTCTTCATAGGACCCCTCTCTTGGACTCTAAGGCGCCTCACCAGCAACTCACCTCGTCCTCGTTGGTGTCATGAGGAAGGCCGGTGACGTACACACTCGTGTTGATTTTCAGCTCAAACCACTCGTTTGGCTCGTTGTTGGCCACCTGGATCGGGGAGACGAGGGCAGAAGGAGAGGGAAACAACACAGAGTGAGTGGAGAAAGTAAGAGAGGCAGGAAGGCCGGTGACGTACACACTCGTGTTGACTATCAGCTCGAACCACTCGTTTGGCTCGTTGTTGGCCACGTGGATTGGGGACAAGGAGAGGGAAGAGGGGAGAGGGAGAAAGAAGAGAGAAAGGAAGAGAGGAGGAGAAGGTAAGAGGCAGGCCGGTGACATACACACTCGTGTTGACCTTGAGCTCAAACCACTCGTTTGGCTCTTTTCGGGCCTATACGCTAACCAACCCCACCCACTGACCTTCTTCTGAAGCTCCTTGCGTGTTTCCACATGCTCATTCTCTTCCCCCTGCTCCTTCTTCCCTGCCCCCCCTTTCCTCCCCTCCTTGCCCTTCCCACCCCCTTCCATCTCTCCCCAATGCTTCCCCTCACTACCCTCCTTCCCCCCCTCCCCTCCTCCTTTCTCCCCCTTCTTCCACCCCTTCCCCTTCCCCTTCTCCTTCTCCCCGCCCTTTCCCCACTTCTTCCCCCCACGCTCCTCATTCCCCCCTCTCCCCGCCCCCATCTCCTCCTCCTCGCTCGCCTCTGCTCGCTCCCTCTCAGCAACAGCAGCAGCAATGGCAGCGTCTAGAGACGGAATAACCTCCTCGTCCTCTACGAATACCATCTGCTCTGGGTCGTAACCTGGTAACCCTGCTGCTGCATCTGGTGCCCCTGCTGCTGCTGCTCCTGCTCCTGCTGCTGCTGCTCCTTCTTCCCCCTGGAAGACACAAGACAGCAGAGACCCAGAAGGCAGGAGAAAGCAACG